TGTGTGTGTGTGTGTGTGTGTGTGTGTGTGTGTGTGTGTGTGTGTGTGTGTCCCTGTCTTGTGTTCGAGAAACCTTTCTGCACGAAGACAGTCCTCCAATCCGACAAACAACGCACGTTATCCCACAAATACTGAATACACATAACATTTTCTTCACCATTCATCTCATTATTTATCCTTCAACTCCATCCTTCTCTCGTCTCCAGGGAGCGTGAGCCTGGACGATATCCTCGCTGTGCAGACGCAGTCACGTGACAACAGTGAGCTCAACAGCGTGGTCGTGCACTACGCCGCCCGGGGCAAAGGTCATTCGCTGACCTGGGCCAAACTCGTGCTGTCCGGTGACCCGGACCTTTGCAAAGAACTCAACAACAGCTTCGCCACCACACTGCCAGGTCAGTCGGGTTTTCTTGTCTTTGGTTGGTTGGTTTGTTTGTTTGTCTAGTTTGTTAGTTTGAGTAAATCACACATTTTAGATTTCAAATATAGGCGTCCATCTCCACCCCAAACAAAAAAACAACAAAAAACAAACAAACAAACAAACAAACAAACAAACAAACAAACAAACAAAATCTACACACTTAAAAATCATATACAAGGCGGGCTTTGACCCTGCTTGACAGAGCCAACCCAGGCTGAAAGGAATACTACAACATCCCAGCAGAAAGACCGAGATACTCAACCAAGCGGAAAGTCCGGGTCGAGCATCGGTTCGGACACTGATTTTTTTTCACCACCTCCTACCCACTCAGCAGTAATGAGTACCTGACTTCAAGTTGGTAAAGTACATGTATTGGCGGTGTGGAAAGAACTGGCCACTCTACCACAATATTATGCTAAAGGCCCAGGAAGTTGTCTCACTAACAAGGCAATCCCCAATGTCCGGATCGGATGCGGGAACACCTTTTTACTCAACCGAAGTTCAGCCCTTTCTGGAATCGAACTCGGGTCTCCTGTATGCGGCAGCTAAGCGTCTAACCACTATACCATAGACACCGGTAGTTTTGGTAAGAATTTCACTCCGCTTACACAACAAATAGGTCATACAAATGCCGAAGGTTAATGGCGATGTTAGAAAGCACCGGCCAGCCACCAACTTTGTTTGTGTCTTTGATTACAGTTTTCTTGGTCTGTTTGTGTGATTTTCATCGGGTGGTTGGTTGTTTGAGATGAATTGAGCTTTACTGTTTTTGCATATGTGTATGGTACGTGGATGGGTCTTGCGTGGGGCTGCAGAAATATTTTCTGTTTTTAAGTTTTAGAATTGTTTTTTCGTTTTCTCTTCCCCTTGCCCCCCCTCTCTCTCTCTCTCTCTCGGGGCTGCAGAAATATTTTCTGTTTTTAAGTTTTAGAATTGTTTTTTCGTTTTCTCTTCCCCTTGCCCCCCCTCTCTCTGTCTGTCTGTCTGTCTGTCTCTCTCTCTCTCTCTCTCTCTCTCTCTCTCT